CGGTAAATCATTAAGTCTCGACCACAGAAGCCAGTGATTGACATCATGAGCATCGATCTATCCAATGGATACGATGGTATCTATCTACCAAGTCAGCGAGCCTGACAGCCCGGCTCAATAAGTCGCATAGTACTGTCAACGCGTGGATACGTGTCGACTGGGGAATTAGCTCATACGTACAATACGTTGACAATACGTTGAGCTCAAATTTCTTTAGTTACATGACAAACAAATACACAAGACATAAAAGAGGTGAGTAGAGTACCTGCTCAACCCCAGGGCGTTTCCTACGAGCGGCATTCTCCTGCTCGTGGTCGCCCCTACACAGAGAGTGGGAATACCAGACTCGTACTCTTTCACTCTATAGATGTGAGCATACTAAGTATATATACAGTTTTTGATAACAATGGACAGGCGATGACTCAGCAATTGACAGATAGAAAAACAATAGCACTTCCTTGACTAGTTGATGTTGATGGCAGACACGGCCAAGGGGGATGACAATAAAGGTTATAAATGTCATATACAGTAATTAATTGCCTGAGAAGTCATTGTACAATGCGGAAGTGATAAGGATTGCATAGAATACAGATTAGCATCATATAAATAATAAAGTCTCACATGTCTTGAGTACATAGTTTTTAGTTTTTAAATATTTGGACGATGGCTGTCCTGAATTAGTCCCTATAACATTACGACAAACATGGGATGACAAATAATTCTAACCCGGATCTTCACGGGTCGAGTTGATTGGCATGAACAGAACCCCAGACTTACATAGCTTTGAAAGGATTCATATGTATGTTTCTAATTAGCTACATATGCCTACATTTAAGCTAATACCAGGTCGTAGGGGTTCGGTAGTCTTAACTGACATACATAGCGCTAACATCGCTTTGTGTTTGTTAACCCAGGTCTTTATGATATTTTTTTTTGTCTGTTCACCGGGGGCTATAATTATTGAGTGCGATATCACTTCTTAAATTTTCTTTGAATCTTTAAGATTTACACCAAGCATGACTTATTGAAGACCTGGGCCTAGATTTTCGAAGCTCTCTTAGCGCTAAGATAGTCGTAAGTTAATGTTAATGTATGTCATTTACGACTGTCTTAGCGCTAAGACAGCTTCGAAAATCTAGGCCCAGCTCTTAACCGGATCTTGAAAGGGCTTCATTGAGGACTTTTGCATCACAGATGGGGCTTGGCGGATTGCGAGTGAGTGAGTTGGGTTTTACTCCGCTTTCTAGCAATACTCCAGCAATATCACCGCGTGGGACACCACAAATGGGCTTCAGACAGTGTGCCCATGTGGGAATCGAACCTGGGTCTTCGGCGTGACGATCGAACGCTTTAACCACTAGGCTACCCCACTCCCCCTGGCGGATTGCAAAAAATATTAGGTGTTGACATGGGGTGGCTGTCAAATACGAAAGAAGTGAGAAATTTCCATGTGTTTCTATGTAAAAAAATAATATGAATTCACATTGCCACTTACAAACGTGGCATATGGATGTTGCGTTGGCTGAGTGGGTTAGATTACTGACTTTGTGTTTTGAGGAGCAAGTGCTTGAAATTGTGGGTTCAAATCACGGCTGGGACTCAACCCAACAAAAGTATTAGAATCTGTTCTTTACTGAGAAAGTGTAACCCCAAATAAGAAATGTGTTATATAAAAATATACTTGAAACACACGTGACTCTGTCAACAGGCCTTTCACAAACTTGTCTCCTGTCAACGACCGGAACGTTTATTGCCACTGGCGTTACCTACATCAATCAAGAGTTGCGAAAGCCATGTTTCTCATCCATTTTGTTTTGCACGGTGAGTGTGGCAAGTGATATTGTAGACCCATAAAATATCAAGTAAAATTTCTCATTTCGAGTACAAACATAGCTTTTCCCACGACAACGACGTTTTGACCACTCCCAAGTGGGAGTCTCGTTTTACCTACTCTCTAGGCTTTCCTAAGAGGAAAACCCAATGTAGCCCTGACATGTGAACTATGGTATATTTTACTTCCCGGAGATGAAGTGTCAACCTCGTTCCGCGCCACTGATTCCCAGACAGGGACTTAGACAAAGCACTCTAGTTTTGACCTGGCCGCCTTCACATTTCTCTCACAAGGGGGGCACAGGGGTAACCTATAGTCTGTTTGCTAGTGAAAACGTACCGATGAATTTAAGCAAAAAAATAAATCACGTAAAGTGAAATTAACATTGCTAATCCTCATGATTTTACCTTGCCAAATGAACTTTTAAATCTCAGAACTCTATTCAACTTAGGATAAAAGTTGTTTAACAAACGATCATAGTTTCAAATCGCTATTATTGGTTTGTATTACAAGGGGGGTACGCGCAGTAGTTGGAATAGTGAAACAAATGCACGTGCGGTCCGTGATGAGCGTTAACTTAGACTACCGTAGAAACCAACCCTTCTTGTTCTCGGGTTTTCATTTAATGTGCATACCCCCTTGTAATACACACCAATAATAGCGATTTGAAACTATGATAGTTTCTTAAACAACTTTTATCCTAAGTTGAATAACATTCTGAGATTTTAAGGTTCAATTGGCAAGGTAAAGTTATGAGGATTCGCAATCTTAATTTCACATTATTTGATTTACTTTTTTGTTTAAAGTGAAATTCATCGGTACGTTTTCACTGCAAACAGACTATAGTGGTTAGAGCGTTCGCTCGTCACGCCGAAGACCCGGGTTCGATTCCCTACATGGGTACAATGTGTGAAGAACATTTCTGGTGTCCCCCGTCGTGATATTGGTGGAGTATTGCTAAAAGCGGCGTAAAACTAAACTCACTCACTCCTCTCACAAGCATCACGCCTAACGGTGTGTTTATATCCAGGTGAGGTGAGGTGAAATGGGGTTTAACATCATACTTAAGAATATTTCGCTCATATGACGACGTGCATGCGTGTGTATGTGCGGCTGCTTGTACTAGCCCAGACTTAAGCTGGTTTTATGGTGCTAGCTCACTGAGATACCATGCCGCAGTGAAGCATGAATACCCCACTGAAACACATTATGCTGATTCCGAGTCGACAGGTCCTTGTTTTACCCATTAATGCCGAGCGCCAGGTAGGGACCAACAAGTACCATATTTTAACGTCTTTTGGTATGACGCGGCCGGGGATCGAACCCGCGACCTTCCGCTCTCCGGGTGGACGCTCTAACCACTACACCACGGAGGCCGTGTTTATATCCAGTCAAGGGGTTCCTGGTCCGAGATACAAGATTACAATAAATACACGTCTATGTAATAATGTTACAAGTGAAAGTTGAAACAAGAAAAACATACTTTGGTGAACATTTTTTATATTTTTGTTGTGAAGAATTGTTGTGACATTTGTGAAACGCAGGATATTCAATAAACGATGTGTGGAAATATTTTTTCTAGGGTCACGGTTAAAGTGACTTTTGCAAAATTGAATTCTGAGACCATATTTGGAATTATTCGAAATGGACATAATTCATTTTTTCAAGGTTAAATTTTCCTTTTAATTTTTTTATCATGAGCTTATGATTTGAGCACAGTTTTCATATGAAAGTCAGGTATATTAAGATGCACTTAGATGAACAGCCAGTGCGTCTACTACTACTGCTTCTGCTGATACTACTTCCACACTGATAACAATTACTACTACAGCTGCTACAAAAACAACAACTACTTCTACCACTACAACTACTTAAAAAACTACCACCACCACTACTACTACTACTACTACTACAACCTCTACTACTATTACAACTACTACTACGACTACTACAACAGCTACTACTGCTGCTACTACTACTTCTACCACAAAGACAACAAAAACAACTACTTCTACTACTACTACTACTACTACTACTACTCCTACTACTACTCGACCGCCTCCGTGGTGTAGTGGTTAGAGCGTCGTGGGTTCGATACCCGACAGCGTCATACCAAACGACGTTAAAATATGGTACTTGTTGGTCCCTGCCTGGCGCCCGGCATTAATGGGTACAACAAGGACTGGTTGGCTCGGAGTCAGTATAATGTGTCTGAGTGGGGTATTCATGCTTCACTGCGGCATGCTATCTCAGTGGGCTAGCACTATAAAACCAGCTTAAGTCTGGGCTAGTACAAGCAGCCGCACATAGACATACACACGCATGCACGTCGTCATAAGAGCGAAATATTCTCAAGCACGACGTTAAACCCAATTCCACCACTACTACTACTACTACCACTACTACTACCACTACTACTACTACTACTAGTACTACTACTACCACTACTACTTCTACTACTACTACTATTACTACTGTCGCTCAACAACCACCATTATTGCCAATACTATATGGAAAGACTTCCGCCCGTATCCCCCCTTAAATCTCATTCTTGTCAAATCATATCACCTGAATATATAATATATTCCTCATCTGATAAGGATGAGTTTTAACATGTTTCTTTAATTGTATCTGAACATACTGAAAGACATATCCGAATTCTAAAAATGTCACTGAAAGAAATATTTCCTCGTCGTTATAATTAAGGGGGGGATACGGGCGGAAGTCTTACCAAATCCACATCCTTGTTTCACAACCAGCATCAAACAGCAACAGGAGCAACAGGGTTTTCCAATTAAAAAATCATACAATATGATTCAGAGAACATGTTTTAAACATATTTTCATGCAATAAATTATTTATACATTTTTGCTTCTCCTATCTAGAACTTCAAGAAATGTGTTTTTTGCTCCACCTTAAAACCCAACAAACACATGATCCAATGACGAGGAATCAACCAAACAAATCAACAAAACAATAGATAGGCCATACTTCGGCGAGGTTGTAAACACCCTTAGACCTCTGATATGCGCGTATTCAGCCTAGTACAGATTTACCTTGCAGCAGTTATCTCCCTTTGTATACACTTTTTCACAATGACCTCCCATTTCCCTCTGTATATGTGTAAATCATATAGGTCATCTAATGCGTGTCCACTGTTTCCGAGAACGTGTTGCCCAGGCCGGATACACACTAGTTCAATCGTTCCCACACGAAAACAATGCCGGCTTCACAGCGGAGGACAGCGTGCAAATCGTGGAGTAGATGTTCACATTCATGAATTACTTGTTAAGGTAAGAAATGTCTCGACCTATATTTAGGCGACTGTGTTAGAAAACGTGAGCCGAACTGTACCCCAAGTTATTGGGTGACATTTTGTTATAACATATAGAGCATAGCCATAATGTTTATGCGACAGGCATTGAAAACTAAACTTTATCGCCCCACCCCCCAGCGTATTAAACTCTAGCTAAGATACATAGCGTTCACTGACACTGACATGAACGCTATGTATCTTAGCTAATTAAACTCAGCAGTGCGTACCCTGGCTTGTCGTTGTCAACTTACGGAGCTATGTACAAACTGAATGTCCTGAGGAGATATTTATCCATGTATTGTTGGAATATATTTGATTACAATTGTTATATTAAATGCTGATACAGCTTGTTTGAATATTTGAATTCTTTTTTTTTACATTGGACTTATTACACTAAAAAGATCAGTTAACAATGCGGGTTTTCGTTTAACATTTAATACCATATTATTGCTGGTACTTCCAGGTTAAAAACTCGGTGCGCCTGTCAGTTGCTAGTCTGTCTCACAGTCCCTAAACCACATTATTTCCCCTGCTGCCTAGCCCTCACTGCAGTGATAAAGCCCTAAACGAAGCTAGTCTAGAATTCTTCTGGAATGTCCCAACTCATTGGGGCTTCTTTTAATTTTAAAGGGGTTATTTGTAATTATCAAAATCATATATAATCAGCGACTAAGCGTTAGCCTATAATCAGTCCCCCCCACCCCCATCTTCGAAGAATGTTGAACAGTTAGTGAGAAGCTAGACTTGCACAAGTCTCTAAGGTAATAGTTGATAATTAATAGTTCAAATGATAATTTCTAAAAAAAATATAATATCCCTCTTACAGACCGGTGTACTGTCCGCTTATCTAGGGGCGGTGGGGTAGCCTAGTGGTTAAAGCGTTGGCTCGTCACGCCGAAGACCCGGGTTCGAATCCCCACATGGGTACAATGTGTGAAGCCCATTTCTGGTGTCCCCCCGCCGTGATGATGCTGGGGTATTGCTAAAAGCGGCGTAAAACCAAACTCAGTCAGTCAGTCAGTCAGTCCGCTTATCTAGACTTGCCTCTCGGGAGGGTTGAAATACTATACATCCTTGGGCTCAGCATTCAGTACAGCCTTGGAGCAAGGCTATCGTGAGAAGCATAAACTCCTCGTTCCACAGTAATTCAGAAATATCCCCGTGGAGGTGTAGTATTACGGGTCGGGGTGGGGGCTGGAGGAGATAGGGGTGGGTGCGGGTCGCAATGTGGGTGTATTCACCCAAGCATATTTCATGTTATCGCGCTGTGACTGCACTGTGGCTGCACTGTGACTGTACTGTGCATGCTATGTCACGATGGGGTACGTGGGTCGAGATGAGCGGGTGCAATGTATGTCACCGAACATATTCTAACATTCCTTGTGTTTAAGGATTTTGTATCAAATCGGATTATAGTGGCCATTAAATACTGTTCATGTGCTGTATCTATCAACTGAAACATATTTGTAGCAGCCGACTTTAAAAAAAATATCTACAGTGACCGATAATCATCACCTTAAATATACGACGACTTCTACTACAAATACTACAGCTACTACAGCTACTATCACTGCTCCTACTACTACTTCTTAATATGACGGCGACAACGATGATCATGACGATGATGAAGATTATTATTATTTTATGATTATTATAATGGGGGGTGATGACAAATGTTTTTTTGTACTGCTATTACTTATAAGGACGATATTTAATTTCATTACTAGACGTCTCTACCACTACTACTACCACCACCACTCCTGGATCCACACATTTTACCAGTACTGAATTACATTTGAAATTTTGAAATTGAAATTTACAACCCATAACTCCACCGAACGCCGTCAACGTCTTCCGTGTCATATGTAAACATTCCACAACGATAACGTCACAGCCCGGTCTCCTCGTTGCCCAGCATCTGAAGCAGACAAAAAGTTGCTCGGGGAGTTGTGAGAAACATTCGAGATACTTATGAAACACTCACGAATTTCTTTTATATATTTAACTTTCCGTACTTAATGCTGAATCCTGGTCCAACAGCTGAGACAGAGGCGCGGTGTGAGCGAGTTGACTCGTCCTGTCAACCCACTAAAAGGCCCGATGAAGAAGTGGCTCAGGTCTTGATGTAGACGGTGGGATTTAAACATGATGGATAATTGTACTTTACCATGGAAACTTCAGAAGTAAAGAATGTGAAGAAAGTTGCTTGGGAGGCGAAGGCGTGAAATGATCTGACAAAAAGATCGTGTCAAGGATGTATAAGAACATATGATTGTTAAAAAATATTTTAACACTCTGTCCTACACGATTCATCCTGACCCATAAAACCCCTTCCCAACCCCTCCTAGACTTGCACAAGTCTGTAAGGTAACAACATCCTCGATATTTCCAGGGTATACGTTCCGATTATCGGAGTTTAAATGATAATTTCTAAAAAATTATAAATAACAAACTGGGGTCCTACTGTCCGCTTGTCTAGACCTGCCTTTTCGAAGGATAGAATTACTATACAACCATGGGCCCAGCATTCTGTACAGCCTTGGAGCAAGGTTAACCCGGTCTCTGTTGAGCATCACCCACTAACACCTGAAACATAACTCAGCGTCACTTAAACCCCCCTCCTCCAAAGACCAGTCCCAGATAAAGTAGGAATCTCCTTAAACATTATCTGCTGGTATGAATAACTGAGATACAGCACGCTCATTGTTAACGTGACGGGGTCAACGGTCAAATGCCCAGGCCGTCATACACCAGGTCACATGACCTACAGTGAAATGATGCCATGCCATATTTGGTTATATATTTAAATTGCTAATGAAATAATGAGAGAGAGAGAGAGAGAGAGAGAGAGAGGTTTGAAGGAAGGAAAGCCGTTTATGTAACTTATATGGTGAGGTGAGGTGAAATTGGGTTTAACGTCGTATGACGACGTGCATGCGTGTGTATGTGTATGTGCGGCTGCTTGTACTAGCCCAGACTTAAGCTGGTTTTATAGTGCTAGCCCACTGAGATACCATGCCGCAGTGAAGCATGAATACCCCACTCAGACACATTATACTGACTCCGAGCCGACCAGTCCTTGTTGTACCCATTAATGCCGAGCGCCAGGCAGGGACCAACAAGTACCATATTTTAACGTCTTTTGGTATGACGCTGTCGGGGATCGAACCCGCGACCTTCCGCTCTCCGGGCGGACGCTCTAACCACTACACCACGGAGGCGGTCGAACCTATATGGTAGTAGTGTGTATAGTAGTGGTGTCTTAGTGCAAACCATTTTAAGATCTTAATTTATTCAAATCACGATATGGCTGAATATTGCCAAACTAACTCACTTAACTCATTTCTTAAAAAACTTAACTTTTCAATAAATGTCCAAAGTGCAGCGGATTGGTATCTCTTTCCCGCGTGTCCCGATGTTTGTGAGTAACAGAGAGAGAGAGAAGGGGGAGGAGTGGAGGTGGGAGTGGGGATGGGGATGGGGATGGGTGGTTTGAAGGAAGGAAAGCTGTTTATGTGACATATTGTAGTAGCATATATACGTGTATTCTCACAAGTTATTACTTTCTCTGATGGCGTAACATCTATTGCAGCCTTCCACCTTCCACGCGTGCGGTGTCATGCTTCGCAGAAACAATGCCCTTCTTCGCGTTATTGACATGTGAGACAGGGACTTACAAAAATTTTTAGTTAACTTGTTTACTCAAGCTACCTGCAAATATTGTATATTATATTAATAAATCGAGTCCAGGCAAACCCATGAATGAAAACTTAAGCAACGCTTCCGGATATCACCTCACGATGACATTCATTGAGCTCAGTTACCGAGTTAAATATCTTTAGTCAAGCTTGGCATACAGAAGACCTACATTCGCCCCGACCCCCCTCAGGGCTCGCGAAAGACCTTGCTGGAATAGAGTTAAGAGTAGGTGTGACCCAAGCCTTGCTCCAAGGCTGTACGGAGGGCTATGGCCATGGATTCTAGGCAAGTCTAGATTGAAGCGGGCAGTGTAAAGACGCCAGTCTGTTTGAAGGATATTTATATATTTTAGTAATTATCATTTAATCTATTAATAATTATCTTAGAGACTTGTGCAAGTCTAGTGTGACCCCCTCGAGGTAATGTCACACAAACGGTCCGATCTGTCCTGTGATAGATGCTTTTCGCGTCAGCTGCGGAGACGACATCCGCATCGTGCTTCATGTCGACACCGTCACGTCGACATCGTGATAAACGTCATCACGTCGTGCCAAGATCATTTGTATTGATGATATACAGTGGGTACTTATTATATATCGATATTATCTGCTCGTCAAACATACTGTCACTGTTATACTAATGCTTGGTCTCTGAAGATATACAATTTTGTCATAAACAAACAATATGTTTTAAACTGACAAGGAGCCCCAGTCAGATGGGAGAACCCGAGGAAATCAAAACTTGCTTCATTTATAGCTTTAGCATTGCAGAAAGAACTGGCGGAAGGGAAATTATATGCGGTTCAAAGACTAAGACAGACTATGGCACTGTCCGTCAAACGAATTGAAGTTTATAATATTATGTCTTAATTAAGGGTTATGTGTTAAGATATAATTACAACATAATTCATAACGGTAAAATGACACCCGTGTGATGTGCGTAGCGGATGTAGTTGGTGTGACGTGGTGAATAACGACACCTCGATCAGGCTTGACACCTTGGTATATGTACACTGATTGCCTGCTTAACCCAGGTGAAAAATGTCTTTGAGAGGCATTTTAGAAGTTGGATAGGTAAAATATGCCTGTTACTAGGACCCGCTGTGGAGATTAAAGGTACCCGCCCTCCCCAATCCTCTTCCGTACCGCCTTCAAGCACTGTCCAACATTTGTCCCAAATGTGTCATAGAACCGGAACGAGGGGAAAAAAAGTGTATGGGTGTGGGGGTTGGATGGATGAGGGTTGGGTTGTGTAGTAGAGGGAGCGCCTATGTACCGTTTTCCCGATCCCCATTGCGATATACATGCAGTCTGTCTCTCAGACGACCCGAAGACAAAACAAATTAATCAAGCCTAAGTTAATTTGACAAGTGTAGATGGCCTCATCATTATAAAATTGGGATTGTACTACTAGGCTCCATTTGGATTTGTTTTTGTAGTTAAATATATTACTTGGTGTTTTTCTGTGTGTTAAGTACGATAACTTTATTTCTGGTCCTGAATGTCAGTCTTATTTCGTTTAATCGCATTGTATTATTTTGTTCCACAAATGACACAGAAGTCTGAAAAGTTTCTCCGGCATCCGTTGGTGATAGTTACGGTTGTAAAATTCATTTTCAATTTAATTTCAAATGTGTGGATCAACTACTACTACTTGTAGTAAACGACTAACATCTAGTCTCTGAAATGAACATAATTTACAGTAGAAAATAGTATCTAAATAATATCCATAACATAAAATAAAGGGAGAACAGAGACTTTCTTCATTTTCAGAAAGTGGAGTAATCTAGACTTGCCACATATTCGAATATTTTATGGGCTGCATTGGGTATATTTGTGTTAGGGTCTGTATGCATAGTAGTAGTAGTAGTAGTAGTGGTAGTAGTAGTAGTAGTAGTAGTAGTAGTAGTAGTAGTAGTAGTAGTAGTAGTGGTAGTAGTAGTAGTGGTAGTAGTAGTGGTAGTAGTGATAGTAGTGGTAGTAGTAGTAGTAGTAGTAGTGGTAGTAGTAGTGGTAGTGGTAGTAGTAGTGGTAGTAGTAGTGGTCGTCGTAGTAGTAGTAGTAGTGGTAGTAGTGGTGGTAGTAGTAGTGGTAGTAGTAGTAGTGGTAGTAGTAGTAGTGGTAGTGGTAGTAGTAGTAGTAGTGGTGGTAGTAGTAGTAGTAGTGGTAGTAGTGATAGTAGTCGTAGTAGTAGTAGTAGTGGTAGTGGTGGTAGTAGTCGTAGTAGTAGTAGTAGCGGTCGCGATCGTTGTGCCTCATTCATCTACCACGACGACGACTCCCTAACACCCACTCGAACGACATACTGATACGGTTTACTAGAAGACTCGCCACCAGACATTACCCTTTAAATCAGGATGTCACGACACTGGCGTTTACTGTGTCTAAGACAAAACACATCAATCATGACGTTGTGAAAACCCCATAAAGATTACACAGACCCTGTCATAAGGATACATGCAGTACAATATATGTTGTTACTGAGTAATACTTGGTTGACACATGCCATCGGTTCCCAATTGCGCAGATCGATGCTCATGCTGTTGATCACAGGATTGTCTGGTCCAAACTCGATTATTTACAGATAACGAAGTCATTTTTCGTTTTAACCCCGGAGTATGATTATTGCTCACTCTCCCTCCATGTCGCCTCTTCACACACACGCACGCACGCACGCACATACACATATATTCAGAGACTAAGCGGTAATCTTCGAAGAGGTTATGATTGGTCAAACCGACCAAAAATGACAAATGTTATGGGGCAGAAGGTTGTACTGTAGGGTGCAAGCTGATAAATGATCAAGTCATGCACATATCCACGCTGACGAGCGTATGCACAGAAAACACATACTCACGCACGCACGCACGCACACACACACACAACGACACTCACCAACTCCAGCACCCACATCAACAACCCACACCCCCACCGCCACACCCACGACATGTACATTTCACCAAAAGGGATGAAAGAGTTAAAGTTCACGATCAGGGTGACCTAGCTATGACCTCGTCGTGTCGTAGACGACATTGGAGAGAAGTGGGTTAAGCCCCCTCGTGTCATCGCACACTGTGTATATAACTCGAGTACAGTGTCCCGTAGCTTCCTTATCAACCACTGCTGTAGACAGTCCAAACAATATGTAACGGTCAAAAGTTCAGAACACACCCGGATAGCCGCGTATCCGGGACTGGACACATGTATTTTGTTTGTTTGTTTGTTTGTCTGTTGTTTAACGCAGCACTCGGCAATATTTTAGCCAAACGACATCGTTCTGAAAAAGAGTGTGTGAATTTAGTTTTACGCCGCACTCAGCAATATTTCAGCTATATGGCGGCGGTCTGTAAAAAATCGAGTCTGGAACAGGCAACCAGTGATCAACAGCATGAGCATCGATCTACGCAAAAGGGTTACGCTGACATGTGGCAACCAAGTCAGCGGGCCCGACCACCCGATCCCGTTCGTCGCCTCTTAGGACAAGCATGGGTTACTGAACAAGCGCGTTGCAAGCCCTTTTTTCGTGCAAGCCTGATAGGTTGCAAAGCTTTATATTTAGATATTATTGAGGGCTTGCCCAACCTTTTTAGCAACAACCTTATGTAAGCCCGGGTGTTTTTATTTTTTATAAAGGTAGCTACGCCCCTGCTGAAGACCAATTCCAACCCGGATCTTCACGGGTCATGTCCTTCTGTAAATAGTGGGGTCTCATCAGACTATCCAGTGATTAACGTAATTGAGAGCCTTTTAGAAGTTGTGACACTATGGAAGATAACGATATATGGATAACCAACGTCTTTATGACAAAGGGAGCGACGTTTTAAACCGTTATCAAGCAAGTGATGAACAGAGTTCGGGGGATTTGAGCACAGGGGTTCGAATCACTGTCTGGACAATGATTTTTAATAATAAAAATCTAGACTTTTGCAGTCGTATATTTTATTATACGTTATGATGACCCTATATTTCAATTTTGAACGAGATTAGTGTAGCGGTGGACTTTTCTTAAATCTCGTTCACAATTGAAACATAGGTTAATCATAACATATAAAAACAATATGCGATTCCAAAAGTGTAGGTTTCTATTTTAAAAAATATTGTCCAAACAGTGATTCGAACCGCTGTGGATCTGAGTGCCATGTAGCTGCAATGTTGTTGAGTGTGGCGTTAAACAACAAACAGACCAACCTTCTGCCTCGTCCTGTTAAAACCCTAAATGAAGCACGTCTAGATTTCCTCGTGTTCAGAATCTCTCTTCGTACTGGTACTCCTTATTTAAGACCGCCTCCGTGGTGTAGTGGTTAGAACGTCCGCCCGGAGAGCGGAAGGTCGCGGGTTCGATCCCCGACAGCGTCATACCAAAAGACGTTAAAATATGGTACTTGTTGGTCCCTGCCTGGCGCTTGGCATTAATGGGTACAACAAGGACTGGTCAGCTCGGAGTCAGCATAATGTGTCTGAGTGGGGTATTCATGCTTCACTGCGGCATGGTATCTCAGTGGGCTAGCACTATAAAACCAGCTTAAGTCTGGGCTAGTACAAGCAGCCGCACATACACATACACACGCATGCACGTCGTCATATGAGCGAAATATTCTCAAGCACGACGTTAAACCCAATTTCACCTCACCTCACCTCACCTTTTCAATTTAAGAGGAATTGTTTGTTTCCATGACAATTATGAATATTCGGAGACTATGCGTTGCACAAGGTTGAACCTAAACACTCCGTGTAGTTGAGATCTGATAAAATAATTCAGGTATTCTATTAAGCCATTAGAAACCGTGTTCTGTAAACTTGACAAAATCCCCTAAACTTCCCCAGTCTATTTTGGTCTAGCTGCCACACGCCTCACTACAGCACAACACAAGGCTTTTGTTGCTCTGTATATGATAACAAGCTTATACTTCTTTCACACTTGACCTTCCGCGTGCGTCTATGTAAACCGGTCTTTGTATGAATGGCCTGTCAATCAAAAGGGCGGAACACGTCAAAGAGCAACGGGTGGCGAACCGGATTTAGGGTCGCTCAGTAAGACAACCTGTCTAAACTGGTCAGTCAAAACGTCGTGAGCTTGTGAGTGAGTGAGTTTAGTTTTACGTCACACTCATCGATATTCTAGCTATATGGCGGCGGTCTGTAAATAATCTAGTCAGGACCAGCAAAACCAGTGATCAACAGCATCAGCATCGATCTACGCAATTGGGATACGATGGAATGTGTCATGGAAAAGTCAGCAAGCCTGACCACTCGATCCTGTTAGTCGCCTCTTACGACAAGCATGGATTACAGAGGATCAATTTTTACCCGGATCGTCACGGGTTTCGTGAGCTTGTACTTACCCACAGTAGTGAGCAATGTATTGAAAGGCTCGTACCTATTAAGATGGGTAAGATGGGTATCTCTTGCTGGTGACGGCAATCACAAGGGAGAGGTCTACTGACGGATACACTTTGCCCAGTACCACTGAACATATAAATAAATAAATAAATAAAATAAATAAATAAATAAATAAATAAATAAATAAATAAATAAATAAATAAATAAATAAATAAATAAATAAATAAATAAATAAATAAATAAATAAATAAATAAATAAATAAATAAATAAATAAATATGAATGAATGAATAAGTAAAAAACACACAAACAAATATTTTAACAAAGAGATCCAGTAACTGAAGCGTCCGGATGCCTATACCACCGAATTCGACAGGCTTTTTCTGAAATCAGGGGCGGTGAAGATAGTGGTAGCCTTGTGATTGAAGTCTCGCTTGTCACGTCGACGATTTCTCCCAAAACAGACTCACTCACTCACTATCTGATATTAGAAGCCCGCCCGTAGCCCAATATCAGCAAGATAGACTCACTCACTCACTCAGACCAATCAAATCATTCAAATCAATCAAATGAATCCATCCTTTGTACATTTCTAATATTAGAAGCCCGCCCGTAGCCCAATATCAGCAAGAGAGACTCACTCACTCACTCACTCACTCAGATCAATCGAATCAGTCAAATCAATCAATCCTTTGTACATTTCGGGGTTATGTTTGTTATATTTGACATGATCTCTAATGTATCTATATTCCCTTACAGATCTGTCCACTGACACATCATGTTGACACCACTGCTGTACGTCATCATAGCGGGTGTCTCCATCCTCTCCACCTCTGCATCATCAACACAAAGGTGCCAAGTCACTGAAAGGAGTTTTAACATATCCGCTACCTATATGATTCACGGAACGGAAAAACGCGTGTACGTTCATCAGATTGTCATTGACACTGACGAGAGAGACGAGTCCAATAGCACTGAATGTTTCATTGAGGCTGAAGATGTCTTCAAAGATGAACAAAACTATACGGGATCACGAATCCGAGCTTACGCATTTGGATGCAGGAAGCCCACAAACGTCATCATCAACGGAACATATCCAGCTGTCAAGGAAGTCATATCTTACGTTCAAATCCAGAACTGTGATTTGGGTTTGGAGAGTCTGAATGTAATCGCAGATACCACCAGTGTAACCGTGTTGAATATTGTCTACCAGTCAGCCTTACTATCTTCTCCTGATCCTGCACATTGTGCCGCTCTTGACGGAGTTGGAACATTGATGATCTCAAACAAGCGATACCCTTCTCTAGATATGGACGTCTTCTTTGCTTGCAAAGACCATTTATCTTTCATGGCTGAGATGATCTTGAGGAACCTGTCTCTCACTGAGCTACCAGCGGAATTATTCCAATACATGCCAACACTTCAAGGACTGGATCTGTCAGTAAACAATTTCACTGTTCCTCCGGAATTTCCATGGGATAACAGCACTCGAGATCTTCCACGGAACTTAACAAGAACCACCTTCTTCCAGAATCAGTATACGTATGGAATCGTTGATATGCCCTCTCGTGAATATAGGCGTGAGTTTCGACTGGATTTTAACCCATTTCTGAACCTTACCGGATATAACTTCAGAGGCTATCTGCAAATGCTTTCCATGGCTGGATGTAACTTGGATTCGTTACATGCAGATGTGTTTTATGAGGTAGATGGTCTTCAATATCTTAATCTTGCAAAGAATCAACTTGAAAGTATTCCCCAGGGTTTATTTCAGAAAGCGTCAGAATTACGCAAGCTGGAACTGCAGGGGAATAAGCTGAAGGAACTGGAGGCAGGTGTATTCCAAGGACTTCATGATCTGGTTCGCCTAGATCTGAGCAACAATGGTCTTTCTCTGCTAGGAGATAGGCTGTTTGATGGATTATTCGAACTCGAAAAGTTGGACCTCAAAAACAATAGGCTAACGTATATCAACAGCAACGCCTTCTCGAAACTTCTGGTGAATTTAAAAGTAATAGATTTGGAAGACAATCCACTAACACATATTCCGGAGAGTCTGCTGCTGTTAAGAAGTCTTTATGATATCCGAATGAAAGGGCACAATGTCACAGATCTTGATTTTTCTCAGCTTGACCGTACAATATCATTCGACCGTTTGAAATATACTTTGGTGGATTCAGTCAGTAACGGTAATCCAGATTTGGATAGGCCTTCTGACGGATTAAGAGCTGTTGACTTGTCTAATGGCAACATCCAAAGGATATCCTTTGCCCCTGCGGATAAATACACTCCTATCAAAATCAGTTTGCTTTTAAAGCATTATAAATTCATTCTTGATAATAACCCAATCAGATGTGATTGTAACATTCTGAACTTCACAACTTATGTGAGGGAACTCAAGGAGAATGGGACTGTAGGTGCTTCTGACATTCCTCTAAGGGTTTATGGAAATGAATTCCCCTTTGATGCTTGGAAGTGTTCTCAACCTCAAGAACTATCTGGAAGAAAAGTGCTGCTTCTTGAGGACGACGAAACTTACTGTCCTTCTAACACAACACAGTGTCCACCTGATTGTTCCTGTTACGAACGATCCATCAGTAAAGTAAATATTGTAGACTGCAGAGGAGCTGGACTGACCGAAGCTCCCAAAACTCTCCCTCCTGGAGACACAGAGCTTTGGCTCCAGGACAACCACATCAGGAACTTTTACATCGCGAAGGAACTAACTCAGAGATTAGTAGAACTTAATTTAGAGAGAAACGGACTTGAAAAGTTAAATCCCGAATGCCTTTCAAATATGGGGAAGCTAAAGCGATTGTACATCCAAGATAATGTCCTGGCAAGCATCCCTCCAGAAATACAACAGATGAATTTGGAAAGGATTAACCTTGGGGGTAATCCTTTGCAGTGTGATTGTCATTCGCTGTGGATGAAACAGTGGCTAGTTACAAACCACGAACATGTGGAAGATTCTTTTGATGTCAAGTGTGTTAATTTTGTTGAAGACATTGGAAGGAATATCTTTGCTGTTCCTGATGGAGATTTCATTTGTGAGGAAATACCCATCTACAAAGTAGCGGTGCCGATTGCAGTGCCTACAGTCATTGTGTTGCTCGTGTTGATAGTCTCACTAGTATTGTTCATTCACTGGGATGACTTCAAAGTATTTCTATATGTCCACACTGGTATACATCCATTCGACAAGAACGACCCAAGTGGAATAATGTGCTATGACGCTTTCGTGGTATATCCTGCCTATTTATCTGATTGGGCTCAAGACAATATTGTGAATCCACTCAAAGCCGATCACAATTACAGAGTCTATGATGTAGCAAATGATTTCCAGTTTGGTCTGCCTTTACAGGATAATATCCAACATGGTGTGGCATCAAGTAAGAGAATGGTTTTAGTTCTTGGAGAAGACTCCGAAACCGATTCCATGATGCAGATAGCTCTGGAAGCAGGTCTTGAAAAGAGCCGAGAGGAAAAGGCAAATTTTCTGGTACCAATTCTTCACAATGCTGTGCCTAAAATATTTGACAATGAACAGCTGCAAAAATACTTCAAGGCACGGAAATATGTGAATGTGTCAAGCGACCACTTCTTGAAAAGGTTACTTTACTACATGCCCACAAAACAAGTTAACTCTAAAAAAGTAACGGAAACAGTGAACATGGCATATGAAGACCAAACCGACTTGACACAAACAGTCACGGCTAATGGTATCCATGTTGATATCAAGAACGAGGACAACACTGATATGATAATGGCTATTCAACCAGCGGCTTTGCCTCAGCCCGACCTGGTTGAAGACACAAAGCAAGGGTCAACCATTTTTGTGTGGTACGCTGATTCCGATTTTCCATTTATGATGGAAAGGATTGTGCATCCTTTGGAAGCAGAGGGGCACACCTTCATCCTGGCTGACAAGAGCTTCATCCCTGGGGCGGCGATCCAGGAAAACATCCTCCACGCTGTTGAGGACAGTGACAGGACCATCATCATCCTGTCACAGGAGTCGGTTGTGGATGAATGGATTTTGTTCGTGTTCAGGTTTGCAAGTGAGCGTCAGATGGTGGACAAGTCCTTCCTGGCTGGGATGGTCGTCAGGGAAGGAATGATGAATGTTCCGTGTGATGAGGAGATTGTGAAGCATCTGTTGACGTACCAACCTCTCAGTGAGAAGGATGCTGCCTTCCACAAGAAATTGCGGATATTTGTTGAACCACGTCTTCGGAACTGTAGACAAAACCGTTCTCAAGACAAACTGAACTGTGAGGTTTGAAACATTTAACTTGCAGTCAAAGATGCAAGGAATTACGTTAATACTTCGAGTTATCCAAAGTTCGACACAAACGTGACATCATATGTTAACTTTGAGACAAACGTCTGCGGAATTGTAGACTACGCCGTTCTCAAGACAAACTGAACTGTGACTTTTGATACGTTTGAAATACAGTTAAATGCAGTCGTGTCGAAGTTGAATGGAATTACTTCGAGTTATCCAAGGTTCGTCACAACCGTGTAATACTGACGAAAGAAGGAATACGGAGGGACAATCGTTCACTTTGAGACAATCGTATGTTCGACACAACAGTGTTTGACAGTAAACGACACTGAAAACAGCTCATAATTCATCTTCCGACCATCTGTTGCACATGTGTGCGAATTATGGACACACTTGCTCACGAGACGAACAAAAACGTGAAATATAATACTCATGTTGTTAAATGCGGCTATGCATTACTTTACAACCATATTTATGTGTGAAGCCCATTTCTGGTGTCCCCCGCCGTGATGTTGCTGGAATATTGCTAAAAGCGGCGTAAAACCATACTCACTCACTCTCTCACTACAACCATATTTACACAGATGGGTCAGTGTGGATAAGTGTTCGAGCACAAGGTTCGAGTTGCTGTCCAAACGGCTTATTCACGGTCGTATCACGGAAGCCAATTGATAATCGAATTTATCCGAACTATGTTTATTACGAACATGCATATAACGAACTCGCTGAGATAATGAATTGATTTTAGGTCCCGGCTACTTTCTGTATATAATAACGAAATACGGTTATAACGAACTAAAGTTAGTGGATCCGTAAAGTTCGATATAACCGTAGTTTGCTGTAAGTGTCTGAAGCGGTTTCTGTAATGGCACACGAGGGCTCGCTGGCTTGGTTGACACGGGTCATCGTATCCCAATTGCGTAGATCGATGCTCATACTGTTGATCACTGGACTGTCTGGTCCTGACTCGATTATTAACAGACCGCCGCCAAATAGCTGGAATATTACTGAGTGAAGCGTGAAACTCACTCACACACTCACTCACGTGACGTTAACATCAGCCATGAGACATGAGTGCGGCGTAAAAACTAAACTCATTCACTCACATGAGGGCACATACAGAGAGTGTTCGGCGTTTAAAATAATTAAAACAAATTAAAACTATATACATACTGAATCGGGAATGGATGAGTCAAATTGCCTAAGCAATACGGAACCTATAACATCAGCAATTTCAGAACAAAATGATATGCTCTGTAACACCGACATGGGTTTTTCTATAGAGAATATAATATGTTAGGGAATGAATGCTTCTGTTTGAAATTATGTGCTCAACCTTACAATATATTATAATCCCTATATTTGTTCACTATAGATACTGATTCTACGATCTGGTACACCAGAAATTCAGGATTTGCTACAATACTCATGTTAATTACTCGAAGACTCGCGGAGATGCGGGTTAGAATTGGTCTTCAGTAACCCATTCAGTAACACCGTAAGAAGCGACTAACAGGATCGGGTGGTCAGGCTTGCTGACTTGGTTGACACATATCATCGTATCTCAATTGCGTAGTTCGATGCTCATGATATTAATCACTGTATTGTCTGGTCCAGACTCAATTTTATCCAGACAGCCGCCATAGAGCTGGAATATTGCTGAGTATGGTGTTAAGCAATACAAACAAAATTAAAACTACTTGTGCTCCAAGTATTCCATTCGGATATGGCAAAGGCGGCATAAAACTTCACTCACTTCAACAGAACGTTTCATTTGGACAAAGGGTATATTTCTAGTCAAATTTCTAGCATCAGTCAGTATTATCTAGTCACTGCTGGACGTCAGGGTCTTTCTACATTGCGGTCCACTTACGTCCACTTACTGACCAATTTTGAAAAATAAAACACATGAGCAGTATTACCCGTGTTTTTTTTCAAGTTAATGGAGATGGGATAATGATATTAGTTGCAGTATGTTTGCAGTAAACCTGCTACCAGTTGTAAATGACCCTCATGTTTCTTCTCAAATGGTTGGGGACGAGGGGGTAGTTTAGTGGTTAAAGTGGTTACTTGTTCAACGTAGCCTTATTGTGTCTGTGTCTGTTTTGTATAGCGCAACCTCGATAATCCAGACTATTGTAGTTCCATTTAAATCGTCTCAAACATGTTGATTAACGAAACATTGGTAGATAGTGTTGTCTCGTATATACATAATGCGTCTGGACGAGTGGGGTTGGAGGGGGAGGTGGTCATTATTTAAAGGGTCCGGACAAACGAGGTGTCACTGTAAAGGAGCCTTTGGAGGTTTGTACATTTGTAGATTTATACAGATTTCTGCTTTGTTATTTTCACATCTATTCAAGTTTATGACACATACTTGTTAGTACACTGTTTCAAAGAAACACCTCAAAGAGATATCTCATTAATTGGTTCTTGACCATACTTGCGCTGCATAACTATTATGATATTTAGGTGGCTTTCATTATCGCGATTTGCTACGAAGAGGTGACGAAGTTATTCTCAGTCATCAACCATTGTGAGATTTTTGTTCCATGATATTATTAATATGGGATCTGTTTCTCCGGCTCAATAAACACAAACTAAAGTGATTGTTCATCAACAATGTATATATGCTAGTCACATAATATTGTTTTATACATTTGTTAAACAAGTCTCACGTTTTTGTGTATGTATGATGTTGTGTAAATACATGTGATACCACGATCTTGGTGATTATTTACAGACCGCCGCCATATAGCTGAAATATTGCTGAGTGCGGCGTAAAACTCAACTCACATACAATGATCTTGGTACTGAGTACACATCACAGCTTCTGTCTGAATGCTGATATTGATAGCGTTATGGACGTGTTATTGCAGGATATGTACATACAAACACACACACCATCACACCACGGAGATAACGCACAACACACCATGGCCACATCAAACGGAGCCCCACATACCAACACTACACCCCCTTCCCTGCGCACAGAGGATAACACACAGACACGACACACACACACACACACACATAACCCCCCATACACACACACACACCCGCCCACACACCAGATAGAGACATACTATGCACATCACACAACACAACACAACACGCACATGCCAGATAGACATACTATACACACATCACCGCCACACACACACACACACACACACACACACACACACACACACACACACACACACCACCACATAAACCCCTCCACACACACCCGCGCACACACCTGTCTCAGAGACATACTATGCACATCACACACACACACAACACGACACGCAAATACCAGATAGACATACTACACACACAACACCACCGCCATAAACACACACACACACACACACACACACACACAGAGCAGATAGACACCACACCCAACTACGCACATAACATTGTATTTCTTGAATAAAAGTTTTCCTTTATCAATTGCTTCATTTTGTATTTCTTACAGAGGCCTGGGCATCACTTTTACACTGAATAACGGACTTATTTTCTTTTAGAGGCATTTTAAAAGTTGAGAAGATGAAGGAAAACAAAGTTTTATGGATACTCAACTTGTTTATTGCAATGAGTGCGACGTTTCGGTGTAGGTACTAACACCGAATCACCTGCTTGATAACGGTCATCACCTGCTTGACAACACCTGCTTGATAACGGTGTTAGTCATCACCTGCTTGACAACGGTGTTAGTACCTACACCGAAACGTCGCATACCTACACCGAAACGTCCACCCATTGCATTAAGAAGTTTACTATCCATAAAACTTTGTTTTCCTTCAAGGGACTTATGTTCAGCGAGCGTGTTATTACTGTACCGATAACATCTTTCGTCGTGTTGTGCATGGAGCGTCACTCTAGAGAGCGTGATGTAAGTAAATTAATTTCCCTGTTACGCGCCTACTACCTGTCCGGACAAATACCGGCTTTATGCTGGTTATCGTCTGGGACGCCATACCGCAGTTTAAAATGAATGCCCCCCGGCAAAAGATACTGACTCCACGCACGCTCGCACTCACTGCCTGTTTAGGCAAGATATCGCTTTGAGGCAGGGATCGCAGTGAATTTGAAATTTTGAAGGCAGTAGTACATTTTTTTTGCCAGGAATCTCAAAATATCTCGTTTCTCTTTTTAGAGAAGGAACAAACTGAATATTTTTCACCCTGTAAGATGATTTATTGAAAACCTGCACTTCGTGGAAGTATATAGATCGTTCTTCCTGGTTCTGTTTTCAGAGAGTTCACTTCGTAAATACTTTACATCGTTATTACTTACAGATGTTTAATGGCTGACGTTAACGTCACGAAGTTCCGGGTACATGACATTGTTTGACACTTTCTGGAGGCTATATGACTCTTTCTGTCCTTGTTATTTTCTTTTAGGTGAGTTGAGGTGACAATTTCTCCTTTTTAAAAGTTAAACCTGGTTATCTTATTATGTTTTAAAATTTGTCAAGACGCCGTCATAGACTGTGTGATATTGGTTCATCCTTTTTAGGAAAAGTCCATCAACTGACTACATTTGTTTCTACTCATGCGCTTTTTGCGTAATTGTTTTTGTTATTATATCATAAACACGTACATCATGTCTGGATGACTGGGTTTGCTGCTTCTTCCAGTAGTCTGTTAAATCTCTTGGGATGTTTTATGTGGATTGTAATATCTAATTTACCCGCACGGAATCTTTACAGGACTGTTTCTTGTGTAAAATTCTCCGTTAATGAAATGATAACTGTTTGCTTCTATGATAATGAGGAAATATACGCACGATAGTCACAAACCAGTCAACATATATGACTGAAATAGACAGCATAAAGACAGGCGGTCGATTTCATGGACAATGGAAAAGGCATACAGGTGCAAGACCTCGCATAACATCATACATTAAGTTGTAACATGGAAATTTCATTTAGGAATTGCACGACAAACATTTACTAATTTACTAAATCACAATGTAGCTGTTCTTATTTGAGTTGTACTGTGTTTCACAACTGTAGAAACTGTCCAACAAAACTATTTTACTGTGCTTCCTGAAAGGTGAGGTGAGGTGAAATTGGGTTTAACGTCGCGCTTGAGAGTATTTCGCTCATATGACGACGTGCATGCGTGTGTATGTGTATGTGCGGCTGCTTGTCCTAACCCAGACTTAAGCTGGTTTTATAGTGCTAGCCCACTGAGATACCATGCCGCAGTGAAGCATGAATACCCCACTCAGACACATTATACTGACTCCGAGCCGACCAGTCCTTGTTGTACCCATTAATGCCGAGCGCCAGGCAGGGATCAACAAGTACCATATTTTAACCCGCGACCTTCCGCTCTCCGGGCGGACGCTCTAACCACTACACCACGGAGGCGGTTCTTTCTTTTAGGAAACACAGATGTGTTTATTTATTAAATAACATGAACACTACTTGTTTGTCGACTTCGTTCTCACATATTTCGATTCAAAGCTTGGCCAAGATGTAACGATCAGGAAAGAAAGTTGTTGCTGCGTTAGGGAACAATGTTTTTTATGCAAATTGTTGAAATGCGAGTGGTACTGACAATGCAGGACATGTATACCCTTTTTGTGGACACCCGGTGTCGCCCTGTTTTTTAAGTGATCTATTCACATAATCTGTTACCATTTTGCTTTGGAACCTTTTCGAGCAGCTAAACAATATTCTCCGGCACCTGTCAGCACAAAGCTCATAGAGTCCTGCATTACTTCGGGTTTCCCTCCCTCATCAAGCAGACACGCTGGGACATGTGATTACCGTTGAAAGCGGCGTTAATCCTCACTCACTCTGGGAGTCTAGATCTGTGTCTCATGGGTGATGTTAACGTCACGTGAGTGAGTGTGTGAGTGAGTTTCACGCTTCACTCAGTAATATTCCAGCTATATGGCAGCGGTCTGTAAATAATCGAGTCTGGACCAGGCAACCCAGTGATCAACAGCATGAGCATCGATCTACGCAATTTGGACACGATTGCTAACGTCACGAAGGTACGGTTTAATGTCCTACTCACTCACTCACTCACTCACTTCTGCCACGCGACAGTACTATGCACTACATCTCGTGCCCCTGGTCAATTCATTCATTATTCATCACTGTAGTCCTATAAGCTTTACCATTGGGTTCCTCAATGTGTCAACGCGTAAGAACTCAAGTGAGGTTTTCCGCCAATACTTATCCCGCGATGGTTTGCTTCCGTTTGGTGAGCAGAAAGCCAAGTGACGCGCTTCGTATCAACCTAATCACTTACATTGTTCACCATCTGCGACGTTCTATTCATTGCCTGATGTCGACGATGACGCAGTGGAGTCGAGCCTGCCGTTCGTTACGGGTGTGGCATCCTGCACGCACATTTTCGCAGTCAAGAAGACTTTATGTTATCACAACACAAACCATTTAATCAACGATTTGAGTTCATAACTTCAGTCAGGAATGCCATGTTAAGAAATACATTTCAAATTCCTCTTACAGCTGTACTTTGTTTATGAAAGAAGATATTTTGCTTTTTTATGTCTGACATTCCGAGACAAATCATAAACATAAACACGTGAATTTCCGTATAAAACA